AAAAGAATTGTAGCTCTAGCTGTCCTGGGTCGACTTTTAGAGAAGAAGCAAACAAGGGAAGTGGCCAAAATCCATGTTCTGAGAAAATGAGCAAAACAGGTTAAAACTTTATTTAGCGTTACAGAATGTAAAACATCACAGGCACACATAATTTTAGCGAGTTAATATGCACCAGGCATATAATCAGATTGATTGTTAGCATGAGCATGCCTTTTTTTCAAGTTCCGCTGTAAGTTGTCAGCCGACGAGCGTTTGCTTGCCGACGCCACGGAACGACTGCAATCCTTTTCGGCCATGCGCTTGTGTCACAAACGACTCCAATTTTCGGAGCATCCGCGGGCCCCACCTTCAAGGAGGGGCGTTTTTGTGTTGGGAGACGACATCCGGCGACTATAACGACCCAGCGTGGCGCCGGCTTGTCTTCCCTGCCCCTGACCGGAAGGGGAACCGGCGGTCTCAACAGGGAGAATTACTCCCAGATGAGACGGGAACACGTGTACGCCCCTGAAGAGGTTTGGACTGCATCGGAATAGGCAGTTGACGTACAGACAGCAACAAGTGCGGTCGTCGGTGTCGCGAGTCTCGCGTAGGCGGCGAGCACGGAGTGACCCGCGCAACGTATTGAGACGGCTGCAATTCCGGGCACCCTCGTCGTCTACCAAGCCGGCGAGACCTTCAGCGGCACCCGTCAACTCCCCTACGTGCACCAAGGGCTGGTTTGGTCCGTATGGAACTTTTTATTGTGACTTTTTTTGTTAAAGCGTAAACTTGTTTTAACCAGCCTTTTTTTTAAATATTTGTAGTGTGCGCTGCGTCGCACGTTTAAATTCTAAAGCGCCACCATGATCATTCTGTAATTAATTTCTAGTGTCTCTCTCCTTTGATTTCCATCTTGTTGTTATTTTGTTAATGTTCCGCATATTTGTCTTTAGCCTGTATCTTTTGTAGTGTTTTTAGCACATTTTGTTATATAGCTGTTCTTTCCATCGCGCGTATCCGTTTTTCCTTCTTTGTTATTTTTGTAATCTGCCTTTGCCCCTGTTTTAATTAAATGTTTGTTTGTGTGTAATCAAACTCCGTGTCTGCTCTATGAGTGCGTCGGTCAGGCCCCCACATCACCACACGTGCAACCCCGCACGGGTCGACCAACCCGCAAATAAATTCTAAATGTGACACTTCGAGGCCTTTCAGGCGTCGCAGGCCGAAGTGTAAAGTGGAAGCTTGCGAGTCTGCCGCACGTCGATGTTGGATCGGCGGGGCCTCACCCGAAGTGTGTGACAGCTTGGAACTGTGGATGCCAGGGTTGAGGCCAAGCTCTTTCAGTATGCCTGCAGAGCTTCTCTCATTACCAGCATTAAACTTCATGACTGCTTCGGCTACTGCTGCTTCAACAGTGAACAATGAAGCATGTCGGTCCTTCGGCGCAAGTGCCCATATCATGGAGTGTAAGCACTCGTTGCTGTTTTGTGTTTTGCCCCGTTGGCATCGTTGCAGTAGCTTCTTGTCAGAAAGCCTCTGATAAATAGGCAATAATGCCTCACAGACATGAGGAGGCAAGCTGCGCGGATGCTTGGGTGCAGGCTCGCCCTTGGCGTCTGCAGCATTTTGCCGACACCATGAGTTGGTCCCTGTTGGGCAAAATGTGTGGTTGGCCACTTCATCGTTTGATGTCACATGGTAATAAGTGGCCATCACTGCCCTTTGCATGGCATCCACATCGTCATGAGATTTCAGGGCCCATCCATAATATGAACTCATCTTGTTGATGAGATCCCCAGTCAACCGGCCTTTTCCGGAAAGGCTCTCTATCTCTAGGCCAGTGCTTTTCTTGTGCTTGTCCACCAAATTGCGCAAGGCTGTACCCATCCGCTTCTTCACGTGATTCACGCAGTCTTCCTTGGTGATGGGAATGTACCCATACACGTTCTCTTCTTGTAGCGCCAGGTACGTCCGGCTATCGCCATCTGAAAGCACGGTTGTGTACCTGACACTATGCCGCTCTAGTGACCTTTTGAATAAAATGAGGCCAGCCTCCACCTCCATTTTCCCAGCTTTCTTTGTTGTGTTTCGCTGGCACACGTGGTTCTCTTTCCACTCTTCGTAAGCGGGGTCCCCCTCCTTCGGGCCCGACTCACACCCGGCACAAAAGTTGCTCAGGACAACGTAGTCAAGAACTAGGCCGCTTATCAGTTCAATGACGGTACCGACGCCAATATGCGACGAGTGTCCGCGCGTCATCCACGATCCGTCGTACGACACGGCGATGTTTCCCGGGTTGTCCACTTTGAGTTCCGCGTAGATGTCGCGAACCGAACTCGCGCACTCACTCATAAGTTTCAAGCAGCAAGAGTAGCGGCAGGTGTTAGCTTCTTCTTCACGTACGCCTGCCACGTTTTCGTGTGGAGGCCGCGACGCGATATGTTCATCATTGCAAATATGTCGTTAAAAGCAGTCTGCCTGTTGCCAGTTGCCTGCATTGCGCGGGTGGCGAGCACGTTCACTGTGAATGGATTTATTTTCTGCTGTCCGTCGACGCGCGGCGAACTCCACTTTGACGACCCGTCACCGCAGTTCACACACACTAGCTCAAGCTTGACGGCAAGGCCGTATTCCCGCTCGCCTCTCCTGATCTCGGCGTCTCCGTTGCAAATCTTGCACTTTAAATGCAATATTATCAAAGCATTTACCGCCTCCAAGTCCAGGATGGTGAAAGTCGTTTCATCGGGTGGGGGACCCACAGCGTCGGCACGTTTAGCGATAAGGCTGCGCTTCCGCTCCGTCGCCGCAACAGATGAAATCTCTCGCAGCTTCTCTTCTGCCTTCTTTATATCCTTTATCTGTTGTGGCTGCAGAATTTGCGTGTCGTGACGCACACGGCCGCTTTCCGCGACGTTGTCGGCAACTGACGGGCTCGTAGGACTAGCGTCCGTTAGGCCTGCTGCGCTGGCGTCGACGACCGCTCCGCTGGCCGCTGCGAGTTCGCCATCCTCGTTGTCCTGGGTCGTTGCGGGGCACTTCCTGAAGTTCTCGGCTAGCGATCGCCTCACCCGCTTTCCAAATTTGTGTTTGGTGCGGAACTTCTTGATGGCACGACCCATAGCTGTAGGCAGTTGACAACACCAAGACAAAATGGTGCATGCTCACGCACGTCTCTGCGGTGAAGCAGACGCCAGAAACGCCGCTTGGCCAATCGGATGCCTAGATTTTGTCACGTGCCCCAAGCAGCCAATAGAATCGCGCACTTGTACCTCTCGATGACGCGCTTTTGCTAGAAAACCAATGAGCAAAGCGAGCCAGTGGTGGCGGGAAATTGAAGATGAAGAACGGCTCTTCCAAACGAGATCGAGATGGCCACGATAGCCCTTGTGTACCGGCAATGGTTCGGCACGGAAAAAGCGCGATTTTAGCGTCAATTTGCGCTCATACACACCTCATATTGGTGTTACAAATTGATTTTACGGCGAAAATAATGACAATATAAGCTAGAAACTTAGCAGATTTGTGCAAAAATAGATATAGATTCCGAAAATGTCAGCTTGAAAAAGTCATTTTTTTCGCGATTTTCGGCCTTCTAAGACCCGTGTCCCCCCTTAAAGGCCAATTTTATCACATTTTTCGACTGAATTCAGCGCTAGTAATTTGAGAGTAGGAGGTCAGAAGTATGAACACTCTGAAAATAAGTTTTGCAGAAAATATATTCTTTTGGGTTATTTTCAATTGTGCGAAGACTAGCGTTTCTCCCACCTTAAATGATTGCGAGAAAAGGAAGCCGCGAAATGCTTTTATGCATTGCGCAAGGCGGCGCAGGGACAGCTTGCAGAAGAGAGCCGCCAACCACCGAAGATGAGTGAAGTGCAACAAATAAGTCGTTTCTAAACAGTGTATGCGTACGTCAATTGCCAAAAGCTAAGTGACAACTTTTTTTTTCATTACCACATTTTTCGCTCATCCCAAAAAATTTTTCATAAAATTTGCCCTGCATATTAAACGTACCCCCAAATTTGCTCCAATTTTTCGAGAAAAAGGGTGTGTTCCTTGTGCGAGTAAAAACCGTATTCACGCGCGTAATGAACCCGCCCCCCACCTTGATCCTTGAAAAAAGAAAAAGTTTCTTTAAGGTATATGTTCATTTTATTTCGGTATGATAGCCGGTGCAATTAAAGATTGAAACAACGTTAAATCAAGCCATTATATGACAAAATAACGCAATTAAAGCCAAGGATAGTTTTGCAACCATGCTAAACAGTTGTGAGCAGCGCAAGCGCAGACGACGTCAATCAAAATTTGAAAGTCTCGCTTTGTACGGCAAAGCGCTATCTGTCGAATGCAGGAGAAACCTCTTTGCTGATAGCGCCACGCAAGCACAGCGACACAAAAACAAAGCTTGTGGAGTCCAAAATGGCGCTCGCGCTGCTTCATGGAGCACGCCGCGCGCTCGCCATCTCGGACCTATGCAAAGTGCAACCGCACCCACCGCGACGACGGCACGATGTGCACCTGCAATGTCTACCATAACGTTTGTGCGTGGCCATCTGACGCTGCGTTTTTGTTGTTGGGTTTGTCGTGAACTTATTTGGGACACCTGCGCAGGGCGTGTTCGGCCGGTACGCTAGATGCATGGCTGGATGCGCTGGTGCATTGGAACCGAGCAGCTGAACGACACTTTGGCGTGGATTCATGCACACGCACTTTCGTTACGGGACGAAACAAAAAGAGCTTCGGCCTACAAAAAAGATTAGTAATGCCTTTCACGGGTCAGACAAAGCAAAGTCGTCACCCAAAACTTTCGCTGTTATAACTACCGTGACTTTTTTTTCTCCCGCATAATGAACGAATGAATTGGCGCCAACGTTTTTGGAAAAAAAAAGGTGGGTTCATTACGCGAGTAAATACGGTACGACATTTACAAGTGCCTTCTAGCATACTATCACCAACTGTCTGACATACTGTTGCCAGGTGCATGCATGACGCTAGAAGGTGCTAGGCTGAACGTTTCTTACCCTCCACTGGCACTCGGGAGTTCCAACAATCGTGACCTTTCTCTCGTGAGCATCAGCAGGGTCATCCTTGTTCGGTTGGGCAACCTAGTGCAACAAAAAATATTAAGGGGGGACTAATTCCCTACATCACAGAGTTTCACTCACTTTGATGGAAGCCCCCGAGATCATGATCATGTCGCGGATGCTGCTTCCACCCGTGCCGATGATGGCGCCCACGGCAGTGTTTGGGATGTATAGGCAAACCAGCTCCCTCTCTACCCCGCCATGGCTGGGCGACATGTAACCCCCCATGGGACCATGTACGGCGCCTCCCATGTAACCCCCTCCAACGGCGGGAGGGTGCGGGTAGGGGCCGCCTCCCCCTCCACTCCTGTAGTGGGGCGGCCGTGCAGGGGGTCCATGTGGGGGCGGCGGCGGAGGGTAGGCCGACATCATGGCCATTGGGTGCAGCCCAGGGAACATAAGGCTCTGTGGCGCCAATGCCGCCAAGTCACTTTCGTAAGACTGTCGCAGCTTGGCGCTCACCAACTGCTCTGCACGGCACACGCCTTCTGGCTTGCCCTTGATGGTGATGACACGCTCCAAGTGAAGGGCACTGCCATCGTGCAGGCTGTTGAGGAACAAAAGGAAAGGGGGGGGGGGGGGAATTCAACATTATAGGCTTCACAGGTACAAGGTCCCAAAAGGCTGTTATACCAAGCGTTAACTGAATAATACCGTCAAATCTCCCTACTGAGGTCACACACACAATTGATCAGAGTTTTGCGATTACAGTTGAAAACACTTTGCAAGAGTTATGACAAGACATACGTATATACTCACCGCATCTATTTCACGTTCAATAAATGTTTGCTCTTGGCAAACGCTGTCTTCGGGGTTTCCTTCAGCCTACATTTCAGGTAATAGGACCCCCCCCCCCCTCCTGAGCTTCGGACTTTTGGAGGGTTTGCTTAGAATCGGGGTTGGCCAAGATTCGAGCAAAGATGGTACATTATGGTTCAGTGCTACAAGATATACAGTCAACTGCAGATTTTTCGCACACCCGAATTTTTGGACATGCCCAATAATTGGACATCTTCACGGGACCGCCACGAACGAGCCCCATAGAATCAAATATAAGGAAATATGAAATTTTGAACGCTTGAACCCCCCGAAGTCCAATTTTCCGGACTTTTTGACGCGACGGAAGGTCGGAAACCACCTAAACTGCGTCACACGCGATTACGATCGCATAAGTAAGCGCGCCGGTCTACTGTGGCGGCATCTGTTGCTTGAACTCGATTGTTAGCGAAGAAACACACATGGCCTCCGACATTCCTAACACTTACCGTGTTTATCGAGCAAGGATGTTTCACTGACAGTCGAAACTATCCACTTGGAAATTTTTTTGCCGCCAATTAAGTTCCTTTTGTTTTAGCACTTGTGCTAGTGCGTGCCGCTTTGGCTTCCCGCGCAGCACTTTCGCGAAGCGTTTCACCACTTCGAACTAGAACTAACCATCACACACCGATTTGGTATGGCCACGCTGGCTATCTTGAATGTTTACCAGCGCCACCTCCAGAATACCTGAGGCACCGTCGCCTGCCGTCGCACCGTTTTGTTTACGCAGCTCACAAGGTGTTTGGCTAGCCTAGAGCGTGGTTGTGCGATCGTGTGAAGTGTGCTCTGCAACGCTGAGCCTAGGTGATTCGACGCTCGTCAGCAAACTCCTTTGTTCACATCGTGAGGACTTTTGCTCTTTGTTGACAACTGCGCTGCTCATGGTCACATCAATAACTTGAAGGCTATTCATGCCGCCCAACACGACTGCGATCTTCCAACCGATGGACCAAGGCGTTATCCGTAATCTGAAACTTGTACCGTTCACGTATACTCAACCTCATGGTGCTGTGCTCGGAAAACGGGAAAGGCTACAGCGTTGACCTTAGGTCTGCTGTCTGAATGCTTGCGGACGCATGGAAGGAAGTAACGCAAAACACGCTTCGCAACAGCTTTCGCCACGCAGGCTTCGTGCTCGACACAGAGGCAGCAGACTTGCCTGAAGAAAGCAACGGCGTGACTGACTTGTGCCCTCTTATGGACGATATTATCAACGACCTCTGCTCTGCTGGTGCTTCCATGCCCACGGAAATAACTTTTGAGCGGTTCGTCAACGCTGACAACAAGCTCGACTTCTGCGCAGAGCTAACCGGCGACGAAATAGTCAGGTTATGGCGGATTCAGACTCAAATGTCGAAAAAGAGGAACCAACCCCTGCGCCACCTACAACCACCGAATTGATGCGAGCATTGATGACACTGACATCGGTATACAGTGATGACATGACCCTTGCTCAGATCGAGGCAAATGTGATCACATGCAAGCGGAACGCCGTTCAAACAAGAATCAACAAGTTTTTCAAGCCACTGCAGCTCTAACACCAGCTGCCCTGACAGCACCCGCTGTCGGCTGCATGCATTTTTTTAACGGCTCTTTTCAGAGCCACCCCACTGATGCTTTGGCAGAGTTTCGGAAGTCTGGTACTTTGACATGGACCCTTTTGGTCCACGAAATATCAATGAAATGGCACGTTTTTTGCTTGCATTGAGAAATATTAGCAAAATGGTGCATTTTTTTTTCTTGCAATGAAAATTATCAATTAAATAATGCGTTTTTTTTTTTTTGCCTGCATTCAATTTTTTGGACTGCCCGAATTTTCGGACGGTTTTTCGCTCCCTGGAGGGTCCGAAAAATCAGCAGTTGACTACATTTTGTCATCTTTCGCAGACGAAACAATTGTGACACCTGCAATCGATGGCCCGCTCGAGGAGCCACGAGACCTTATCCGCAACCCTTCAGCATTATCTGCTGCCAAAGTGCCAGTGAGCACTTATCCCAGACATTCCTGTAAAACCGTTCATTTTGCTGTGCAAAAAAAGAGCAAGTGTGTTGACACTACCACCTCTCTATGCAGTATGGGGTGAGCATCTACTACACAGCGTCTATACTGCAGACCCGAATTTCTTGCTATTCCCTTTACAACGAGGAACGATTGTGCCGTTCTCATTAATGAGGACATGTGCATGTTGTAAAAACTGGATGATAAATATGCCAACACAAACTTTGTGGCTATGCAGGGCCGCACTAGAGCCAGTGACACACATCGTCTCTGGTCTTCAAAATAAAACCGCACATGTGCACTATCTAGAAAGTATTAGCTCAACAAGACAGGATGGCTAGCTTCGCGGTCACTTTAGGCATGCTCTAATCATAGGCTTGTCTGGTCCTTTCGATATCCTCGTGGTAACCAAACTTCTCGCTCATTCAAATGCAGCAAGGACTTGATCTTTGGGCCAGCCGCCAAGTGCCAGCAGGGTAAAAACGTGCAAATTCTTTCACCCTTCTCCACCCACCCACCTGGACACCGTGATCTTGGTGTCCGTCTGTTCCATGATGCGTTTGATGGTGTTGCCGCTCTTGCCGATGATGCGCCCAATCAGGTTGTTGTGGGCCAGAATCTTCAGGGGAACATCCCTACACAAACAGAAAGTGCACAGCAAACGTCATCAATACAATGTGCACAGTGGCACTAAAAGTATGCTGAAACTACTACAGGGCAACTGAATGATGAGTAAGGCCAAGCAATAGCCTTCGGTAAACATTCTAAGATATGCTGGTTAGCTGTAAAGGCGAATGCTATAAGGCATAAGCACATAGATATAGATAGATAGACAGACAGACAGGCGGATACACACCCAGATAAACGCCAAAATTGCTTGCAGTATGCTTCGCACTTAAAACCCCTCCTTAACCTGTAACTCATGCTCATATATCAAAGTGGCACGATAGGAATGCAAGTAACAAAATATGCGTTTGCCTAAAATATGGTCTTTATAATAAATCCTTACCTGATGTAAGAAAAATGTCCGGTGAATGGACTCACTTTTTACTGTACTTGTTATGCAATCTGCTATGTTGATCCAGCACATGGGGATGGATTGCCCAGCATATCTATTTTTAATCTTTCATGCATATGTGCGGCTAAAAACACTGATATTAGCTAACGAAAAATGGACTTCAGGTTTATGGCATCCTTAGTGGATACAAGGGAGAACGATTTCTAGCCAACTTAAGGAGAGACTGATGTTCTAAAAAAATTTGTTTATTATCACGCTCAAATAAAATACGCATTGTATATTTTAACCTGCTATAAACAGATATGCAATTCATTTTCTTTAATTTCGAGCAGTTGTTGAGATACTTGATAATGAGTGGTCAGATTGCCCAATTGTACTGATATTTAATCATTGATTATCCTAGAAAATTCATATGGACATATTCTAGAACAATCAAGCATCAGAACTAAACCATCACTAATTTTAGCTCTATTTTTATAAAAGTCATTGCCATCTGTAATGTAATGATTTGGAACATGAGAATTTCTATCTGTTTTGTCAGCACATAAACAATTTTCTCTTGAGTAATTCTATAGTTTAGTAGCCTCATTGTGTATAGAAACTAATAAGCTTTTGATTGCAGCAAGAATACCTGATTATGATACTAAATGATAGTGCTGGCAACAGTATAGCACATAAAATGAATTTTGAGAAAACGCAAAAAGAAGGTAGACTTGATAAAGGGAGGAGACATGGTTTTCAAGGATAACGTGGGTTAATTTTTAATAAATTAAGTGAAACTGCACTGCTTTGTTCACTTTCTTGAGCATATCTTAACTGGCAATATTTTATGTGGGTCAATTATTTTCTGAGATAAATAATTACAATGTTTTTCTTAAACTATAAAAAATGTGTAAAATTACATAGTCACTAACACATACAAAAATACTAAAAAGCCTAAGGGGGGCAACTCTGCAAGCTGATCAAAAATTGAACAAGTACTTCTCGAAATACAGCACAATAAAGCTCATTGTCTGCATGTAACCAAAAACAAATCTTAAAATAAAAAAATCGGAGCCACACATTAAGAAAATCGGCAGTCTGTGTTGCTTTCTGAGCTCATTTAGCTACATTTCGCAAAAAGAATTACAGGTCTAGCTGTCCTAGATCCGTTTTTATAGAAGCAAAACAAACAAAATGCGTGTTTTGAAAAAGAAAATATGGCTTGCATACTTTTAGTTAGTTGAATGCAAATTTCATGCAGCGTGATGAGCTGTAATGTTTGGCTTTCGTGCCCAGGAGAACCTTCGTTATCAATCTACAGCGTTTCTTTTACTGTGATCAGAAAATTATTACAGGGACTTTTGCAAAGAAGTATGGGTTCCTGCAACATTTTTAAGCAAATGTTGCCCCTGGTCATGTTTTGGAAAGAGTGATCACGCACCCCCTGTTGGTGTTGCTGGCCTCTTGTTGCATCACCTCCAAGATCTTCTGGCAAGCTGTGGAGCAGTTCTCAGGGTTGCCGTAGATGGTGATCACCTGGACGGCGACAAAAGAGCCCAACAAAGCCGTTGCATAACGCAACTATGTTACCACTGTTGCTCAATGTTGTGGCACAGTTGAAATTTTCCAGCAGAACCGAAAAACAACGGTCTACGTTACGCGAGAGCCCCTTTAACACAGCAAACACATTTTATTAAAAGTTTGATTACAGCAAATTGAGTGTCATCGTGCAACCAGTTGGATAAATTTCTTTTTTCAGCTGAACACGCCTGCCCATCTCTGCAGATCTAAACTTCTCTGCACGAGACGTGTGCTAATACCACCCCGAAATAACAATAGAACTACTTTAATTTTGAACAGTGGAGCCCCTCTTATACATTCCTCGCTCGTACGTTTTCCAGCGTATGAAGTCTTTGGCATGTGGTCCCAGTAAAAAATCTGCAGGCATCTGCCTATGCATTGAAATAACCTTTTCACACATCTTTCCTGCATTCTATGTTGTAAATTGTCTGTGCTGTAAGTTCTGAGAAGGCACAGTATTTTCTCGTGTATAACCCACACAAGAACAGCTAATAATTCGGAGATGCAGTGAAAACAAGAAGTGTAAAATTCCAGTCCTTAAAGATGGCTTCCCGACAGTGCTCTACGGCTATGCATGAAAGCTAGCTTCATAGCCACTATGCAGGGATCATTTTGAATCTTCGTGCGATCGTTGATGGTACGGATAACAAATCAGCAAATGCAGTACGTCAATGAGTTTGGCAATGTGAGCTTTTACAAGGCCACCCAAGAGCTCAAAAACAGTCATTCTTCAAGAGGCACGAAACACGGCGGTTGGTCAATAAGGATTCTGAGGTAAATTTTTGAAAGTGTTTTTCTACACATCTCATCGAAGCCATAAAGAAGGTTGAAAGCTGGAAGGACAGCCAAAAATATGCTTGCACATTTTAAAAACTTCAAGCACTACGTGTTGCAGCTAGCACTAAACTGAATTAAGATCTGTGTCCATACACAACACAACACGACATATCCCCCCCCACCCCCCCAAACCTTCCCTATGTTCCTTCAGGCCCAGGCGAAAGAACAGTTGCACGCAATTCAAACTGAAGTCATCTGTTTCGATTTTGTTACTTTTTAGAATCCACAGGTGTTGCTCCTCACAATAATTCAGATACTGTGGGAACATACACTTTCATAGCATAGCAGAGCACTGTATCACTTCGTTATACATGACACCCAATGAAATTCTGATGCAAAGAAAATGAGAACCAAGCGATTATCAGCTTGAGCCAACATTCGTATCCAGATTTGTTTTCAGGTCCAGATATATATAAAGGACAAGGATTGCTCCCCAGTGCATTCCTCTTATAAAGGGGTGCTACTGTACATACGCAAACTGGCTCCATGACTCAACAGATGAATTTTTTCCATTTTTCACATTGCAACCGCCACATCCCACTCTTTAAGGCCAGGAGATCAGGCTCACCTTTTCGAGGGAACCAGCATTCTCTTTACGGTGAACGTCCACCCTGCGGAATAAATAACCACAAGCAATCAGTGAGAGAGTAGGATCCCGGATATACTAACCGGACAGAAGTACTTTTCCGTTTCATATTAATTAGTGAAATTCTTCGTTTCAATTTCATTGTGTCCAATGGGCTAAAACTCTAACACTCTATAGCATCATGAAGGGTGATATGAACTTGGGTACCGAAACCATCGAGTGACGACCGAAAGAAAAGTGCTCCAGAAGCACATGGCGTGGCCAGTTGTGCGCAGTCTGAACTGTGGTTACCGTTTGCCACAATTGCTCAATATAACACCAGAAATTCAATACGCCTTTTCCATTTTCCTGTGCTGCCCTCTTGCACTTCGGTAGGGCTTGGTAGGGGCCAGTAGAACTGGCATGGCTAGAACGAAGGGCTCCGAAATAAGAAGTCGCTGCGCGAATTTTCCGCTATGGAAGGGCCCATGCCCTGCAGCGTCGTGGAAAAGGAGGATTGAGATTTTTATGCTATTTTCCTAAAGCACGCGTGCCCGCGGCCCCCAGACAATACACTCAGACTTTTAAATACTAAACTCGGATATAACGAATTACTGGTTATAACGAAGTAAATGATGAATAGCTGTCATAAATGCAGTGCTGTAAATATATTATGAAGTCTTGGTAGTCTTGGCTGCGTCAGCGTTTATTTGAGGAAAGACCTCGCAAAACGAACGGGCAGAGCCAGTACACAGACGATGACCCAGAGTGGCAATGAGGACAAAGAGACAAGCTGATGATGGTGATTGTGATCATGCAGGGATGATGACGATGTAAGTAACAAATGCGCACAATAATTTCCCCCACTTGGAAGCGGACACCCTGGCCGCCGTAAGTCAAAGTGACGGGGAACGTCGCGTGAAAGGTTTCATGCGACAAATGTGGACAATCTCTGTGCTGCTGTAGCGGCGGTCTGTTGGGGCAACAAGTAGTGTGACACGATAATTGACTGGCGAAGTCCGTTCTAAAACAATGTATGGCCCGATGAAGCATGGTTGGAATTTGTCACAAAGACCAGGAGTGCGAATAGGTGTCAAAAGCAGCACCCCATTACCAGGTTGGAAAGACAACGCGGTGGGATTCATCATAGATGATCTTCCGCTCGTGCTGTCTTGCTTCAGTTTAATGCGAGCCTGATGACGAGGCTGGGCCAGACGGGAAATGTATTCTTCGCTAGAAGACTGACATGAATTCCCATGGCAGTTAAAGAAGGAGACATCGAGAAAGGTAGTCGGGGTGCGTCCGTACACGAGGTAAAACGGTGAATAGCAAGTTTTTCGCTGAATGACGGTGTTGTAAGCGAATGTCAGGAATGGTAAAAGAGTATCCCAGTTTTCGTGGTCTGGTTGGACATAAACGGCTATCATTGTCAGCAAGGGTTCGGTCAAATCTTTCTGTGAGACCATTTGTTTGAGGGTGGTAGCTTGAAGCTGTCTTGTGAGTAGTTCCAGAAGCGCACAGTACTTCATTTACCCTTTGTGACAAGAACACTTTGCCGCGGTCACTAAGCAGTACACGAGGAGCCCCATGACGCAGTATTATTGCGTGAAGAATAAAGTCTGCAACTTCCACAGCTGAGCCTGTAATAACAGAGGAAGTCTCAGCGTAGCGTGTCAGGTGGTCCACGGCGGTCACTATCCATCATTTGCCAGCAGATGTGACGGGGAGAGGCCCGTAAAGGTCAACACCTACAACCTCGAATGGCATTGAAGGGCACGGAAGTCGCTGTAAAGGTCCAGCAGGTGCAGACGTGGGGAGTTTACGACACTGGCATGGGTAGCAGGAGCCGACGTACCGCGCTACACTGGAAGAAAGGCCAGGCCAGTAATAACGACATCGAATGTGGTCAAGAGTTTTTTTAAAACCAAGATGACCAGCAGTCAAGTCGTCGTGGAAGGCTTCGAGCACCCGAAGTTGAAGAGAGCGTGGCAGCACAGGAACCCAGCGCGGACCGTCAGAGTGATAGACGTGGCGGTAGAGAACACAGCTTAAGGGGGGACGCGGCACTTCGGGACCGAAAATCAGCCAAAAAATCGAGTTTTCGCGGACCTTCTTTTCGCGTTCCCGACATCATTGCGCACCTATTTACGAAATTTCATAGCCGAATACCATCAACTTTTATCGTTATTCAACTTTAAAAAACCGAAAACGGGCGTCCTGCCCTTTAAATTGAGGGCGAATAGCACAGGTTTCGGCTCTACGATACGCGGGAACTAAGCGCTCGATCGGCGCCATTTTGGTCTTGTTTGAAAGAACGCGTTTTCAGCTGTTTTTTTTTATTCAGTAAGCAACATTGAGCGTTTCCCCGGCTCGAAAAACGGGGCCTCAAAGACGAAGAGCCGCGCTCACTGCCATTGGCTAAACGGCGCACGTGACTGAAATGGCGCTTTCCGGTTGGCTGGAAGCTCGCGGCTTGCGCCTGCATACGCGACCCGACGCCATTTTGAAAGGGTTACCGCTGTGACGCCTCGAAATCGGCAGAGCACTCTGAAGCTTCTGATCGTATCGCCATGCCTGGAAACGCAAAAAAGTATCGGACCGTGCACGCATTTGGTCGCAGGAAACGCAAAGGTCGTGGGAGAAAGTCTACGAAGTCATCAGAGCCCTTGGTTGACTCCGACGAACGATGTGTCGACGCTCCGCGGCCGTTCAGCGATGGTGCGACCGAGCGCGTTGCCTCCGACGACGATGACGGTGAAGCGAACTCCGGACGACTACGAATCGACGCCAAGGTGGTGACAAACGCCGAAGTTGAAGAAAATCATGCCCGGGAGAAAGCGACGCTCGACCGGCTTTCATCGGCGCCAGCAACTGCACGGAAAATTGACTTTTTCACCGCGAGTTGTAGCGAGGCAACCGCACAGGACTCGGACCACGCTGCTCCTTATCTGCTTATGCATCTAGATATCCTAAACGCGATAATGGGTGCCTTGTGTTGCAAAGCCTGCCACGGACCGGCTACGATCGTCAGAGGGGATCGGGACTACGGACTTGCCGTGAAAGTGCTAGTGCAGTGTGAAAGGTGCGGCGAGATCGCGAATGAATGGACTTCGCCCCGCGCGAACGGCACGAAAACGTGCAATCCGTTTGAAGTAAATCTTCTCGCTTCGAGGGCGATGGTGGCTACCGGCAACGGCCAAACGAAAATGAACGATATTTTCGCAACAATGGGCGTCTCACACCGCGGTATGCACCACAAGACGTTTCAGCGGCATTTGAAGAACACGCTGGCACCCGCTGCAACGCGAGCGGCTGAGTCCGCTATGAGCGAATGTGCGGAAAAGGTTAGAACAATTTATGACGACTTGTGCTTCGGCCACCGGGGCAATATTGCCGTTAGCTACGACGGCACGTGGAAGACGCGAGGCCATTCTTCCCACATCGGCGTGGGCACAGTTATCGAATTATTTAGTGGCTACGTGTTGGACTACGTCGTTCTTTCCAACTATTGCCTAGGCTGCGAGGTGGGCCCAAAGCCTAGTAGTGAGGGCTATCAAGAATGGAAGGCTAACCACAAATGCCAAAAAAAAACGAACAGCAAAGCGGGGCAAATGGAAGTGGAGGCGGCTCTAATTCTATTTCAGAGGTCGCTTGAACGCCATGGCCTGCGCTACACAACTATGCTGTCTGATGGAGACTCTAGGACATTTTGCGCCATACAAGATGCCAAGGTGTATGGTTACATTGACGTGCAGAAGGAAGACTGTATTAATCACGTACAGAAACGGATGGGCACCGCATTGAGAAACCTGGTGCAGAAACAAAAGTGCGATGGGAAAAGAGGCCTTGGTGGGAAAGGCAGGCTCACAGGTGAGCTGATCACCAGGCTGAGCACATATTATGGCCGGGCTCTGAAATCGCATGAAGGTGACGTGGGCGAGATGCAAAAGGCTGTGATGGCCACATACCGCCACGTCACCTCCACTGATGAATGCTCGGACCACAGTCTGTGCCCAGCTGGTGAAACTTCATGGTGTCGGCACAATGCCGAAAAAGCAAAGGGTGAGCCCGACCCCAGGCATGCCTACAATCTACCAAAAGACGTGGCAGAGGCATTACTACCGGTTTATACCCGGCTTTCGGAAAGAGCCCTGCTTCAGAGGTGCGAACGCGGCAAAACGCAGAACTCCAACGAGAGCCTACATTCGGTAATCTGGAGTTTGGCCCCCAAGGAGCACCATGCGTCCCTGTTCGCTGTTGAAGCAGCTGTTGCAGAAGCAGTGCTGCGCTTCAACACGGGCAATTTGAATTCTGCAACGGCAATCTTAGGTGAAATGGACATGAAGGCGACAAGTACTGGTGCCAGGAAAGCGAGAGAAAAAGACCACCGTCGCAGCATTGTTACAACAAGAAAAGAACAGCCTCATTGGAACTCCGGAAGCTAGTGAAGAGGAGGCATGAGCACAGAATGCATTCAGACTATGGTTCTGGTGCGTTTTGAGGTTGTCTTGTTGCATCTTCTGCAATAAAAATGTGTGCCCACGTTTTTTCTCGATTTCTCAAAACGACAATTTTCATGTGCTTCCCATTATGCCGGAGCAATATCTCTTGTTCTATCTGGGTTATCATTATGATTTCTTTTTTGTTTCGAAGATAAATGCAGGGGATGTGTCGTAAAGCAAGTTTTATTGTAATAATTTTTGGAGAAAATTCTCTAAATGGATCTTTTGTTTCAAGTGTAGATGGGGAAATTTTTCATGTCATATTCAACATCCCACAACTTTGCTTCGAAATAGCTCAGAACAATGATTTATACTTTATTGCACACTGTGAACATACCGAATTGGTTCTATAGGTTGCACATCAATATCCAAGTTACAGTTAATTAGCTAATTAGGCCTTAATTGAAAAAGTCGCAGTTCATTATATCTTTAAAACTAATTGTCACAGCAAAAAAAGAATTAGATTTTTGAAATCAGCAGTAAAATCTACATAGGCTCTCCAAATTTGACTGAGGTACTCGCAAGAATAAACGAGTTTTTGGAAAATGTAGCATCCCCCCTTAAAGTGCAGGAGTTGACGACGGAGTCGCGCGTTGGGTGGATGAGAAACTCCCGAAAGGTGGTCCATCATGCATCTGCAGTATGAATCGGACCGCTGGTGGGAGACAAATGTTGGCTTGTCGTCCGAAGAGGGTTGCCTTATTGATGCGAGCGTATGAACTTTGGTAGATGTGGCGGTTGAGTTCTCACCAACGCTGATATGGGTAGTTGGAAGCGGGCAACGAGATAAAGCGTCGGCGTCTTGATGTTTTCTGCCTGACTTGTAAGTCATCATAAGGCATGGTGGTCCTTAACGATTGCGAAGTGACGGCCATGAAGATAGGGACGGAACTTCTGGACCGACCAAACCACAGCCAAACACTCTTGCTCAGTTATAGTGTAGTTCTTTTCGGCAGAGGTGAGTATGCGACTGGCATATGCAACAACTTTCTCTAGGGAAGACTTGTCGCGTTGTAGAAGAACGGCTCCTATACCAAGGCCGCTAGCGTCGGTATGGAGGATAGTCGGTGCGGCTTCGTCAAAGTGGCAGAGCAGAGGTTCAGACGTGAGTGCCCGCTTCAACAGGTCGAATGCCGTTTGACATTCTTGAGACCACAGAAAGGGGACGTTGGAAGCAAGTAGATGGTGTAATGGAGCAGCAATAGAAGCGAAGTTCTGGATAAACCAGCGAAAATAGTAGGCGAGGCCAAGGAAACTGAGAAGCTCCTTTGGTTTTTCGGGACGCGGAAAGTGAAGGACTGCAGAAATCTTGTCAGGGTCGGGGGATGCCATCTTTGCTAACGACGTGTCCCAAGACCTTACGCGTGCCCGCGGCCCCCAGACAATACACTCAGACCTTTAAATACTGAACTCGGATATAACGAATTACTGGTTATAACGAAGTAAATGATGAAAAGCTGTCATAAATGCAGTGCTGTAAATATATTATGAAGTCTTGGTACATCTTGGCTGCGTCAGCGTTTATTTGAGGAAAGACCTCGCAAAACGAACGGGCAGAGCCAGTACACAGACGATGACGATGATGACCCAGAGTGGCAATGAGGACAAAGAGACAAGCTGATGATGGTGATTGTGATCATGCAGGGATGATGACGATGTAAGTAACAAATGCCCACAATATGTTTATAACCAATTTTCGAATATAACAAAGTATGTTAGATGCGGAGCATCTCTTGCTCGCAAGTATGTCGTGCGTCTTGCGTCCGCACTATTCATGGGCGACTCCTCCTTCCTCCTCCCTAACAGCTGTGCATATCTCTCTCCACATCTCTCCGACCACCTGCTTGCACTCGCTCCCCCACTGCGAATGCGCCATCTCTCCTACTGCAGCCTATGTAGACAGTGTCTGCTAGCGACTTTCAAATTTCTCCAATAAAAAAAAAAAAAACTGACTGCTTGCATTGCACTACCGTTCACTGGCCACCTTGTATATACAGGCACTGAATCTTGACCTTCAAGGTAGTGCCGGTGGGAGATTTCTCCTGTGCATTATAGAACAGCAAAAATTCTCAGCGTGCGCGTTAGCTAAAAAATTACACCATCTCCTGGAAGGGGACTATGGGGTGACGCAAAGCATCGTGGGAGTTTCCAACAACATTTCCCCCTCCATCGGAAATGAAGCCGTTGCAGCCGGGATTCGAACCCGCGACCTGCGGGTCAGCAGCCGAGTACCTTAGCCATTAGACCACCGCAGCAGGGAGATGCGTAGTAATGAACCAAGTTAATAACGTAATAACACGCAAGGTTAGGTAACACCACAAACCGGTAAATACCACTGCTAAACATCGTTGAAACTCCCTGCATCACCTCATCGTTCCCTTCGAAGAGATGGCTTTTTTTTTTAACAGGTGTGATTCTGTTACAGTGAGGTTTGAGTGTAGCTTCTCACAATATCAATGCTTGTACAAAGATGACACGATGGAACGCACCTTGCCCTTGACTGCTGGGTGATCTGGCGGATAGTGCCTCCAGCCCGGCCGATGATGGCACCAACCATGTCACTTAGCACAAGGATCCTGCGGCATTTTTAAACAGTCGGGGATCCTTGCAAGAACACGTGGAACACTCAACAGTTTGGTAGCATGCATTACCCATTACAGCAGGCTGATCATTAATTATTGATTGTAGCATCAAGTTGAATCATCACTAAGTGTCATGTCCTTGAATAGCTTCCTTTGCTTCATTATATGTTGGTTTTTATTAAAGGGGGTGTCTAGCGAAAGAAAATGAGCTCTCACTTATTTTATTTTGTTCAACACACATAGTTGTTTCTTTTTTTCCTTAAGAGTTTATTTCACACTGCTTCCAACCATCTCCGTATATCCCACCATCCCACCACCATCTCCATAGTAAACATTATGACAAGTTTTTTTCAACAAGCATTTCAAAGCAAGACCACAAAAAGACCCCCCCCCCCCCCCCCGCCCAAGAGTCATTGTCCAGCTAAGACAGCCCACCTGAGGGGGAAGTCAGACTGCCTCATGGGGGAACCCTGGCCGCCCGTGTACGAGAAGGGCCGGAACATGGGCCGGTTGCCCCCCATGCGCATGTTGTTGCGGCCACCGCCGCCACTACCACCTCCGTTGCGGATGACGTCCATGGCGTACTCTGCCCTTAGCACGCTGCCTTGGTACTCGTAATCCCTTAACTGAGCCACAGCCCTGCACGTGCACACACCCACACAAAATGACGAAACACTATTAGCAGGCGCTACAAGAATTTGAAACCAGGCAATCATCTTCCTAACGCGAGAAAACAGTACAAGCTTGACTCATCCCCTGAATGTCCAGGAACAAAGCAGGCCAGTGCATTGCCAAAGTAGTACACCACTTGATGTTCAAAAGACATTTCCATTTTAGTGTAGAGTATTGAATGAAGGCCTTAAGCTGCACTCTCTCACAACAATCAATACACTGAAAGTGAAACACTTTCTTTACTTTCGTGACACTTTGATATCAATTGTATTTCTCCTGCACAAACCCTTCAGGGACCTTGAAACAATAGCCAGTTTGAGTAGTGCTTTACCCCCCCCCCCCCCCCAAAAAAAAGCTGCACTATCAGAGTGACTCGTTCACTGCACTCCAGCTTAACTTAGACACAGCTGCAGCAACAAGGAGTGAACTGATCCCAAAGCCAGCTTTGTTAAGAACATTTGTGTGGCACTTGGGATTCATTCGTGGGAAAATAGGGAAGGGAGGGGGGGGGACACAACACAGAAGTCAACTACGAAGGCACAAGAGAGCAGCACTGAAGATCAAAACTTATTGCCAGAACATTGTTTCAATTAGGCTATCAATTCCTTCTAGTTCATTTTGTGCAAGACTGACAGTACTAGTCCGATGCGTCTGTGCAAGAGCAGTCCTGGCACAGGTGTAGGCTACGTCCTGACGAGGATTTTTTCGTCTCGTTTCGTGTTCTCTTCCTGCTGCCACTCATCCCATCTTGTATGTTTTACATACAGTGACAAATAATTAACAGGTCAAACTATGCCTACATGAGTCTTTTTTGTGGTTCTTTCTGTCACAGCATTGTGAGTAAACAGAACAATGCCAAGCCATCTATGCCCCAGATGAAGCATTAGCGCATGATAGTGCCACTAAAATGCTGATATTGGACATCCACATGACACATAAGTTCAGTAGAAGAATGGGAGGCTCCAAAGACAAGACGTCCTCAAACGGTGACTGCCGCTGGATCAAAAGTTTTGGCAAGGCTGCTGGTCTTGTCAAGGCAAGGTTCACTACCTTGACGAAGACACCCCAGCTATTCAGCAAAGTCTAGTTATGAATACTGGATGCAGCTGCTCGCAACAGCACTGCCCAGAGACTAAAGCTTATGTGTATACAGCATTTTAGAGAATACTGCATTGCCACTTATAACAACCTTGTTTTTCCATCTCCAAACAAACAACAGGGAACGCATCATAGAAGCAGAAAAAAACAAGAAAAAAAGAAACAAGCCATACATACTGCTGCGCCTGTTCGGGAGTTTCGTAAGTTACTTGAGCTCGATAGGATTGGTTCTCGTGCTTGGAAGGAGGAACTGAGGAAAACAAAAAAGAAATAGAAGGGAAAGCTTCAAAGGAAAGCAGCTGCATAGTACATACGCGTCTGTGAGCCAAATTATAAGCCCAACAACATCGCAACAAAAAAGGGCACAAACCAGCTTTGTTAGAACTGAAATTTTGCGTCTAATGTCATATAATATTTGAGGGGTTAAACATCAAAAAAACGCGATATGACCACGAGAAGTGCTGTAGTTGTGCACTCCGGATATTTCGACAACCTGGTGTTCTTCCACTTGCACACAAGTACAGGGGCATCGAGCACTTTTGCCTCCATTGAAAAAGGGGCCGCCGTGGCCAGGATTCAGCTCCTGGCACAGGTGGGTCAGCAGTCGGGCACCATTTCGTATAGTGCTCCCCGCGAACTGCTTCTGGTCGGTAAACCATAATGCTCAAGCATGCGGGCAACTCTTTAGGATTAATTCACACTAAGAATTGAAAGAGGTTGCACGACTGACTGCCAGAGGTAACAAGCGCCTTGCAGTCCCTAACATTCACATGTGCTTGCCCAAACCGCCCATCACCACACCACAATGAATTATCGCAGCCATTGAGATCTAAATGTACCGTCAACACTTTCTAAAAACAAATAAACACCTAAATGTGCATACAACTAACAAGCTTTGCGACAGCTGTCACATGAAACCCATGAAATATGTGGAACTTCTGTGACAAGTCAGCTTTAACAGACACCTTTCATTCAAAAACTGTAAGTAATGCCATCATTACCATGCACCAGGAATTTTGAGAACCAGCACATATCCTCTACACGATACCAGAGATTTGGTGCCAATCCCAGCTACCTGCACCGTGCTAAATATATCAAGAGTTGACAGGCTGGAATGTGTCATTCACTGACGACAAAATGCATGCATTGTGCAATTATGTGTACTTAAGGGTTTCTAAATCCAACTCTATATAACAATCAGTCCTGCGGTTTCATTAACCCTTTTGATGGCGTGTACTGCTCCTTTATGAATCATCAACACAAAGCCAGAACTTCACAAATAGCCCTTGAACTGATACTATGGGACAACCTTCAGCCAGGTTCATTATTAGAAAAAAATTTAAAGCGAAAGTTTGCTCCTGCGACTTCCTGCAAAAACGTTAGTGCTTAGATGTCAATGTGACATATGTTTCACTATCTTTCATAGTTTTACCATGGTGAATGAATCAAGGGGCGAGTTTTTAAGTATTCATATTATAACTTCTTTAGCATGCACAAAATACAGAACAATAAGACAGACGAGCACTAAATCTCAACTAATATTTTTTTTTTTGAGAGGAACAAAACATACAAGTATTTGGGAACCAGCATAGCGCATGTGCCAGGCAAACAAAAAGATATGGCTAAACAAAATTAAAAAAAACTGCACTACCTATCTGTTAGAGCCACCGAAGGTTGACTAATGCATTTGCACACCTGTTAATATGGCAAGCTTCCGTAAGTTCAAGCGTTACTTTATCTCTACGTCGGAAAAAATATCGCGAAATACCGGATCATAATAGCATGATTTACAATGATTTGACAAGTGTAAAAAAGTGCGAACTTTTTAGCCTCCCAACTTACTTCCCGTCTCCCCTTCGCGCATTTGCCTTCTCAGGGAAGCCAGTCAGTTACACTTAATGATCAACAGTTATCCTGCTTGCGTGCTTTGGGTGCAGAGCTGAAGTTGCTTCGTGGCATGTTCCGACATTCTACGTGTCCTCCTGACGTGGAAGGCGGTTGCGTGAAACGGTCGGTAGGACACAGTAGAAGAATGTGCCGCATTACTGCTGCGGTACCTTGACGGCAAGTGCGTTACCACAAGAACTGCCCGCCTGTAGCACACAACACAGCGTGGTGGATCTAGCTGGCACTTATTTGTGGATTGGTGCAAAGCAGCGGATGGGACTACAGAGTGCCTTTGCAACACGATGAGGCCTGTTCTGCACGCTGCGAAGAAACCGCTAATCCATGAAGGAAGAGTGGCAAGCCTTGAAGTATACTTCATTCCTGAGGCAGAATACCAGCTTCTGTAGCTTGTACCAAAGTTTGCGTTGGAACCGGAGTTGTGCCCACCTGAGAAGCTTGCAGCATCGGAAACCATTCCCCGCCTTGTCCCTGAAGAAAAAAGAGCAAGGTGTGTTTCGGAGTCTGTAGAAGCTATTGGAAAAGTGAAAACAGCTCGAGCAAGTTTGAATAATCCCAATAAGCTCAACCGTGTAGCAAAAGACTTGGCGTCTAGAGGGTTGCGCATTCTAACAGCTGATAAAGAAGGTTGCTTCGTTATTTTGTCTAATCAGTTGTTTGGTCAAAAATCCTGTGAAGCCATTAAAACGCGTTTCAAAAAGGTTAATGTAAAGCCAGCAAAAGAAAAAATGCATGCCATTGGGCTATTTTCTTCCCTGCATTTGGAAAACCTTTGCAATTATGTCAAAAAGGCAAAAAGCCTTCTCCTAGAAGTCTTTTTTTTCCTGTAAAATGGACAAGCCTGGCGAGCCACTCCAAGCCATTGTCACTGAAAGGAATACTTGGCAGCAGCAGGCAGCATGTCTTATCCAGAAAGCTTTCCACCTTGAAAATTTCTGACTCGCTGGTAGTCTGTAATTCAGAGGCGGCTTCAATATTTGAGAGACGAAAGCCCAAGGGATGTGGAGCCTTCAGTATTGAAGTAGAAGATTTATTTTACTCCATTCCGTGTCCAGAGTTGTTAAAGAAGTGTAAAACGGTGCGTTTGTGAAGACAATGACTAACTCAAGTTTAGAAATGAACGCGGAATTCTAGTGGAAAGTTTCACCGAAGTACTGCTGTTTGATTTCAGTTCTACTTACCGTATTTACTCGCATAATCCTCGCACTTTTTTCGGCGGAAAACCGTTGCAAAGTTGAGGGGGGGGGTGCGAGGGTTGCGCAGGGAGAACTTTCCACGAAAACGTACAGAGCAAAAAAGAAAGCGAAATGGCCGCAAATTGAGATTCTCACACCAGCAACTAACAGCAAGGTTTGAGAAGTACTAATTAAAATTTACCTCAACAATAAAAGCAGAGGATCAACACAAGGCAAGATTTATTCGAGACACAAAAAGTGCAAGCAAATAGTCGAGAATTAGAACACCCGACAAAAAGCTTATGGGCATTGCGGTAGCGGTCGTCACTCAACCGGAGCCCTGAAAAGGTAAGCGTAGGATGTCAGTGTTGGGCTCATGGCTATATCACAGAATCGTCCCCAGTTTCTTTCTGAATATATAAAGTTTACAATCAATCACAGTAACATGGCAGGCCCAACGCGTCTTGGTGGCTTTTAGCTACCGTCACCAGTAGCGAACACAAAACTCGTCGACTCCAAAGAGCCTACCGGCGGCCCTGTTGCCGTTGTTTAGTGCATGATCAATCACTTTCAAATTTAAAGCAGCCGTGTAGCTTCAGTATCGCCCCATAACGTGACAAGATTACCGACAACATACAAAACACGCCGCAATGCGCACTAGCCACTTTGGCTTGAATTGGATCTCCGTGCAATAATAGTACGCTTGATGCTTAAGAGATGGCGAGAGATGGTGCATGCTATCATCATCATCATCAAGGGCTGGAACAAGCAGACATTATTGTGGCAATTTCCGAGGTTGCGATAATTACTCAAGAAAAAAAAAAAAACGTATTTTTGTTGGGCAATGTGGGGGATGCGAGAATTGTGAGAGTGGGAGGATTACGCGAGTAAATGCGGTATGTCGGGTAGAATGCAGCAACGTATGTGCAAAAATGTGGCATATGTATAGTTTCCAAGGTAGCCCCTTTACTCGGCGATATTTTTCTAGCAAGAGTGAACAAAAAATTCAACACGCTGTTCAAAGCATGACCACAAGAATTTCCCGCGTTTATTTTTTTTATTACTGTTGATGGGGCTGACCATGGGTCCAATGCTATGAGTGAGCTAAAAGTGTTTCGTGAATGTGGCCTGGGATTCTAGTTTACCCATGAGATAGCAAAAGACAACCAGCTACAGTTTTTAGATCAATCAATAAAAATTTCTTTTCCCCACCACATGTGCTGAATTTACAGCCCTAGATAGGAAAAACCTCTGCTCCAGTACAGGTCAGGTCATTCCAAAATTGTTGAAAATGGGATAGCAGTGTCTTGTCTTCGAGGGGGTATGGTAAAGTTTTACTATCGCGCAATGAACGAAAACTTTTCAAAACAAATAGCACGGCTAACCTCAGTAGGTTTCCCGTAACAGGCTATCACCAGAGCTGTTGAAAAAGTTATATCGTTAGTGAAGGACGTATGGCCTTTACCTTCAAGGAACTGTTTCAATAAAGATAAAAAGCAATGCGCAGTTCTGCCATACATTCATAGGTTTTTGCACAAATTAAAAAGTTGCCGCGGGTATGGCATTGATGTTTTCAGCACCCTTATTAAGGTGCAACATTCGTGTCAGGCCGTTGGCAAAAAGTTAAACAGGGGAAAGAAAATGTAGCTGTCGCTTAAACAAAGAATCATAGTTCATAAAATGCCGAGAAGGGGTACTATACCCCATACCATGAACCTGTGGGAACATGTATATAGGGCAGACTGGCCGCTGCATATGTGTACGACTAAAAGAGCATGCTAACTCACTAGGAAAAGAAACTTTTTCCCACTTGTTTGATGATTGCAAATCATGCCATAGTGATCCAGTGTTTCGTAATAGATATCTTATTCTCAGAGAGATAACCTGACGCGTGAACTTACAGCAGCCGGCCGTATAAATAGGTGTACAAACAAATGCATTAGTCAGCCTTCGGTGGCTCTAATAGATACAATTGAACACGAATATACTGAACTCACATATACGAAATTTTCGGGTATAGTGAACTCGCCAGTTATCCTCTTGAAATTTCTTTGTAAAAATACAGAAATTCGCATATTTATATCCGCCCTCGCCACGCCCCGCGTTCTCCGCGGTAGCGCGGCTCCGCACAGGAGTTAGAAGTGCGCTTAGACACTCGCAGCGCCCGGGGACATTCGCGCAACCCCACCTCTCAGACCAAACCCGAAACGCTTGGGGAAAAAAAAGTAAGAGCGAGAGGGCTTGGACTGCACAATCTTCAACTTGCGGAACGGCTTTTTCCCCTTTCTCTCTGATGCTTTGACGACTCGGAGAACAGGAACGAAGAAGCCAACGACCTCCTCCTTTAGCCTTTTTTTTTTTTTTTGCTGTTTTGCGAGCTTTGATCAACCAACCACAGCTCGCACCTTTTCCTGTTACCCTCACCGGTATCCATCACATTGCAAACACTTTGTTAGCGGAGTCCGCTTTCGCTGTCGCGTCATCTACGTACCACCGCACGTGCAGCATTCTTCTTTTGCATGCGTGGTGTGCAAAGCCACTGCCAACTCATTGAATTGTCGACTTCTCGTGTAGCTATGGCCAGCCTCAAGAAGCGCAAGATCCTTGACTTTGCAACGAAAATGAATGCTAATCAGTGTGTTGAGGCAGGTGAGAAATGCTCAACCATCGCGGATGACTTCGGGATACCGTGGAGCGCTCCGAGCATATTGTTGAACAAGGCAGATAACAAAGCAAAGGCGGTGAAGCAGCAAACATCGGGAGCTTGTCCTGTGAAGGCGGAACTTGCGTAAACCAGTGAGAACAACGATAACGAGCGCTTATACAACGCGTTTTGCAAGTTGTCATCCCTCTTCACGACAGCTGCTCCACACGAAGTGTTTGCGGACGATTTTGTGGAAGCGGACTGCAATGTTCAGGCTGTTGCGAGCCTCACATAGTGGCTGTGGTCGCAGGGACCCAGGATTCTCAGGCCAACAGCTCATGTGATGAGGAGGATTGTCTGGACGAGGAGCTGGCTACACGTGCATACTCCTCCGCTGAAGTGTCGCCAGCGTTTGGGGTTCATTCATCGTTGTATCGATGACATGGAAAAAACCGGGCTGTCGCAACTAAACAGCCTTGATAAGATCGAGACTGGCGTTTTCAACTTCATTTCGAAAACGAAGAAGCAGGCCAAGATAAGCAATTATCATTTTTTTTTTTTTTTCACTCAAATATGACATTGCGTTGCGGCATGTCTGCGGAATCAGTTGTCGTTCTTGAATGTACCTATTGTAGGTGATGGTCTGCTACAAGTAATCTTTCGGGGCCTGTATTTTTTATATCCGATTTTCGATATATCGAACTAATCCACGATCCTCTTCGAGTTAGATATACGTGTGTTTGACTGTAGGGATTAGTTTTTAAAATTCTGGTTAGCCATGTATTTTTATGTTTACCTGTCACATGACTTGCGCATGCGCTATGCTGGTTCCCAGGTACTTATGTGTTGTTCCTTTCAAAAATAAATTGGTTGAATTAGTGCTCGTCTGTCTTTCTTGTTCTGTATTTTGTGCACACTAAAAAGTGTCGAGAGCACTGTGTCGAGAGCACTGACACCGCATTCCAGGGAAACTTAAGATGCCTCTCATGCAAGGTTTCAAAATTTTGGCAGTACTCTTTTCATTCCCGGGCTCCCCGGAACGACACTGCAAATCCTTCTGAACGACAAATGATCACGTAGGTACCTGCAGACGCGGTCTAAACCTAGGTTATTGTTGCGAGCTGGCAGAGAAACTTCTCTCACAGATGATATTGGTGGTCTGTATTTTCTTTTATAGCTTTTGAAAAGTATTCTCGCAATGACAGCAGTGCTCCTGGTACAGTAAAAGGGTTTCTCAATAAAGATGGCAAGGCACTACATAGTATGCTAAGAAATACAGAAAGTGGAGACTTTTGAGCTTTCACTTTACTTGGAAATACACTCCATACTGAAATCCTACAACAGAGTTTCATACAAAAATGATTGAATGAAGAAGCTCTGGTGCTGCCATAACTCTGCTACCACAAGGAATGAGTAGCACGTTGCTTTATTGCTGTCCCACTTGCAGCTTCCAATGTTCACACCATTTACCAGGCTTTAGTACTTTAAGTAGAGTTAAGTCTCTGCACGCAGAAAATCGTGGCACGATATGCTTCCCATAACACTGCTTTGTTTGTAACTTGAAACTAGAAAAAAAGAAGAAAAAAAGTCGACCTTTCACCGCTTCTTCACTTTGGAAGTACTGCACGAACAAGTGAAGACACTAGGCCATCTGAAGCCAAGAGCACAACGAAGTTTATACAAATTCATGACCTACCTACCCACTGCTATTTCCACATCATCTCAACTGCCACACCAGAGTCATTGCACATTTATCAGAAAATCAAGGTTAAGCAGCTTCTCTGCACCACTTGCCACGGCGAATGAGAAAGAAACGAAACATTGCCAAGAAGCCACTGCTATGGCACAAACGTAATTGGCAATGCCAGCACCACCACACAACCATAATTTAGTGCCTTATTCAACACTAATCTCTAGACAAGTTCTCAAAAGATAGGTACTGCTCGGTATCCTTGTATAGAGCAAGAATCTTTAAGGAACGCCTTTAGTTCCACGTTTTGAAGTCATTTAAGGCAGCCCAGAAGAATGTCCTTAGACAGCTGATGCTACCGGTCCATGCAAAATGAAAGCTTTAGGAACCTTTAGAAACGTGTTCGCACATGCAAAGGGATATTACTCTTTACTAAAGTAAAAAAAAAAAATCGCACATGTATATTCCCTTAAATGTACGAGCGTGCTTGTAAGCTGTTCTCAATCATCTTGATTGGGTGTTTAGAATACAGAGGTTCAACAGCTTGCCTCCTGCAAATGTGCCCATTTCCCACTATGTCTGTTATGCAGGCTACGGCGATCCTAACATGCTATGGCCCGTATAGTGGCTCTACGCTTTGCAGGAACCATTACAGCCGCTGCTACACTGGCATGTCTTGCACGGAGTGGTGAAAGCAACTGAACACTTACGTAGTTCCAGATTCTGCACTGTGCCAAAGGTAGAGAGAAGATCATGGATCTCGTCCCGCTGCACGTGGATCGGAATGTTGCTCACGTGCACTCGGTTGCCACGACCTCTGGAAATGGGCAACACCCAAAAGGCCGCATTTTCTGTCAGCATACACAAGCCATTGAAGTGTTTTACTTGTCAACTTAAAGAGATTTCAGGCTCTTCTCTGTGCACGGGCTCTTGTTTTAATTATTCTGTCTGGCGGAAAAATTGTGCCACTTTTTTTTTGTTTTTAGCAGTCCTAGAGCGAGGCACGCTTCATAACCATTACCTTAAGTTAAGGAAAATAATTTAACATTCTTATTACCAGAAACTTGTGGGCAGCCCCTTGCATGGCAAACTTGGAGATTTATGAACTCCACCCACCTTTTATAAAATCACACCTGATTCAGAATGCCGAACTCTGGCTGCAGAAGCTCAATCCGAGCATAGTCAAAACCCAGCATGACAGCATAGTCAAAACCCAGCATGACAGAACAGTCGGCAAAGCCCTTACACCATATCAAATGGCCGCAAGACTTATAACATTAAAATAATGACACGACACAGCAGCTGCTAAAATTTGTGCGGCAGATGCTTGCCAGACAGAACACTAGGGTCATCAGCCAAAACTTCGAAATGAGGTTCTATCAAACACCATAGCGGCACTACAAGCTTAAATTTTTAGTATGCTTTATTTCTTTAGTTACTATCACACATCATGTAAGCTTTCCTCGACTTTTTTTTTAATTATTATTATACAAGAGAGCAGGTTAAATCGAGACATTTTTTTTTTAATTTAACTTGGAAGGTTTCTTTCAGACATAACAGAGTTCCCACATGAAACGAAGGCACATCAGATGTAAACAAACAAGTTGTTTAGAACACAAAGTCTGGCAAGGATCGGTAAGCTGGTCCATTAATAGAACATTGCATGTTAAGTGGCCAACTGGGACAATGACTGGTTGTTTGGAGGTCCTTATGATAATATCAAGGGTGTTACATCACAAAGCCACAATACGATTATGAAGAATGCCATAGTGGGGGGCTCCAAAAATTTTGACCATTTGGTGATCTGTAACGTGCCCTTATGTGCAAGAAGCGCTTGCAGTGGCACCAAATAAGCCATATGCGTGCCCCTAATGCTTGTAATATATTAAAAAGTTACTAAATTTATCAAACAGTAATAAATTTACATGCAGAGCAGCAAAGCTTGCCTGCACAGGCCAACAGAGCTTCAAGACATGGTGTGCCCTTTGCTTATAAAAAGAACACTTCTTCGTGCCAATGAAGAAGTGTTCTTTGACAATGCCAATGAAGAAAATTGCGGGTTCACAACTGTAACAGAGCGAAAAAGTGGGTTATGAAAGATACCCTCATAGTAAATTGCCTCAGTCCTCAGTCCTACTGTCAAGGTTCAGTGCCACCATATTAGACTAAAAGCTGTGCCACAAGGCACAACAAAACAAACAGGGTAAATTAGTGAAGTTTCCCAAGCCAAAGCTCCGATATAATTATGAGGCCCGCCGTGGGGAGGACTCCAAATTAATTTTGACCTTTTGGGATGCTTAATGTCCATCTTAATATGTGCCAGGGTGTTCCTGCACTTCACCCAGAAAGAAATGTGTCCACAGTGGCCAGCAACTGCACCTGCATTCTAAATGCTTAGCAGCACAACAACTTCGATCGGATGTTACCATGGCAGCTGACGAAAAAATGATCCCAGACATGTAACCACGTGAAAACTGCAGGCATTAGATTCCTTTGTGGCTGTTTTGAGTTAGTAACGTTCTTGATTTATGTACAAGAGACACAGGAAAGCAATAAATACATGCAGTCGTGTGTTTCTGACAAGCTCTTGAAGTTGGCATGCGAAGTCGCAAAGTAACGCTGGGAGGCGAAATACCAGTAAGGACGCTGCATGTGGTGCCAGTGAGACAGTGCTGCAGTACCTACTTTCTCTCTTATTAGCAAGCATGATGCATCAAAAGACTGCTATACTTGAACATCCACTCTGTGTATTGTGGCTGAAGTGCCGCTTGGCAAATATAGCACCTGGCACCATGTGAGCACATTTCCTCATTATGTCCTGCCTGTCAGTGCCAATTCCAACTTATCCACTTTTGTATTGTTTAACTTCTTTGACAATTCAAATGAACATCCATGGTGTGCTTGCTGAAAGCTGACTATGCTAACCTTTTCAAGGAGGGCTTCACGGGCACCGCCAGAATCCTGTCTGGGCTACAGTAAATATACACTCCCCTACCCCCTCCATAAAGTGCCATCAGTCTTTGTACAACCTTTCAACAGTCCAAAAAAGAGGGTTCTCTCTATGATGGAAAGTATACAGCATGCAGGCATCACTCCCTCTTCCCCCCTCGATCTGAGACATACCTTCTGTTCTGTGGTGTCGACTGTTGAGGTTCTACCAGCAGTTGGGATCCCATGAAAGAGTGTCCTAAGAGACAAATAAGCACACCTTTGTTTAGCACCAACACCACGCATGCACGATTATGTGGGTACGTCTATACAAAATTAATAAATTCAACGAAAGGTGCATGTGAGCTATTTGCGTTGTAAAACACCAAGAAATTTACAGATCAACGTGCTGGTCCGGTTTATGAATTTCCTTTCAGCTGCAGTCTTTTCTACATAGAGAAGATGGGCCATTGTGTTACTCAGAGATTAATGAAGCATAAAAGGTTTAGATTAGACATGCCTAATCTTTTTTGCACTCGCGACACTGTAAATGCACGCGCGAATCCGTTGAATCTGCCATTTTACACATACACAGAAACAAGGAGATGTGTCTGACAGTCAAGGCTTGGACTACAAATAGTAGTGAGAGTACGATAGCAAGGGTCCAAGCGGCCTGTTTTACGTTATATGAGCAATGAAACTGTTGTGGTCATGGGTACAGACCCTACCAACAGAAAGGGTAGTTTTCCGGCAGTTTTGTTTCAACTTAAGTAAGAATCATAGAATAACAGTTAAGAAACCACAAAGTAGTGTCCCCTGTTCTTTCAGTTGGTTTCATTAGTTCACGAAACAGCAGTGAGAATACACGCACAAGCCAGTTGATTGCGAAACTGCGTTATCAAATGTCGTGAAAGCGCAAGAAAGCATCGTAAAACCGCACCAAACAATGTCAACTAGCGAGATACAGCGTTTTGTAATGCTATAACTAGCGTAGATATGAGATGAGTTGCGCATAGTTACGTCTCTAGCAATAAGACACGAGTGCTCGATTGACAAGTGGAACTCCATAACTAAGCATGCACAAAAGAGTTTTCAGTCCACCTTTTTCACCAATGTGCCCACTTTAAGTTGACAGTTGCAATCTGCCTTTCTCACAGTGGCACAACACATGTGCCTTTCCCCTGGTGAAAAAGTCGCGAAACATGGTAGGGCCTCCGCACACATTGCTACCTCCAAGTCTTCCGTTCTGGCTAGCCCAGCTGTCTTAGGTTATCCTATGACGCTTTGCCCTCCAACCAACATAGCAGAGAGCAGCATATGAAAATCAAACAGGCTGATTCTGTTTTGTGGTTTTCTTTCGCTGTCTGCATGTTTGTGCACCCAACCGCTTTCATGGTGTTGCACGGTGTTACCATTGACACTTCTTGGTCCCTATTTGTGCGTATCTAAGCAAGTCTGTTTCAAATAGTGAGACTGGCATTGTTTGCAGTGATATAACTATGTAATTGTTATAAAATTGTGAAATGAACAAGTCATAACCCCTTATCCGGAATCCATCAAAGACCACTGGGCTTGTCTACTAAGTGCACTGTTGGTAACTATACTCTACTTAATACGTAATTGGCAACGCTGTAGAGGCTTAATAAGACTTCTTGCAAACATACATTCGAAACAAAAAATAAGTTCAATGTTCTTACCACCAATACAAAAATATTTGTGTTCATCATTACGGCGATAATTGACGTTATTTAGTGCCTTACAAACAGAAACGCTGTTAAGCGTCTGTTATGATGCGGCTAGATAGCCTAGTTTTCACATGACATCACATACACACGCTCTGCTCTGAGTATATCACAATGGCAGCCACCACAGTCACTCCTGCCTCCTTTTGTGCTCTTCCAGCTTTCTTCTGTTTGCCAGTCGCTTCAAGGGAAAGCCCACAGAAACACTAGGGTGGCTCGTCCGGCACTAATCATACGTCATGCGAGCGACCACAAGAGCTATGTTTTGCTGGCCAAACTTCTTACATAGCTTCCACAGCATTGCACCTGATGCGTGAAATATAATACAGCACGTATGTTTTCGCAACTGTTGATGTTACTTTCACAGAAAAAAGCTTTTACTAGCAAGACATCTGAAGGTGCAAGTTCCTTTCTTCAAACCTATACTAAAACAGCTATGAGCATATTCCATAAACCTAATTCCCCCTTTTTTTGCTATTGCACACATTTGTGACACAGATAACTAAAAACAAAGTAAGCAAGTGGTGATCATAACTACTCACTGTTAAATGCAATGTAGCCCATTGCCACAAATGATTACCTAGCTCCACTACGACGCCGTCACATATATATCACGTAGATTTCATCACCCACTGTTCTACCTGAAATTTCAGGTATATTTCTTGTCACACCTCCTAGACAATAAAGAAAGAGTAGTCAATTTGTCATAAATAAAAGGCCTAATAATGCAAGCTCTGACACAGTAAGATTTGTACTTAATGTCAATGGGCATCTTGCATTCACAACAGTCGTTCGCTGAAAATCAACCACTGATTCTACTTTGATAATCGATTGATATGTGGAGTTTAACGTCCTAAAACCACCATGTTATGAGAGACGACGTAGTGGAGGGCTCTGGAAATTTCTACCACCTGGGGCTCTTTAACGTGCACTCATATCTGAGCACATAGGCCTACAGCATTTTCGCCTCCATCAAAAATGCAGCTGCCGAAACCGGGAATCGATGCCGCGACCTGCGGGTCGGCAGTTAAGTACCTCAGCCACTAGACCCCCGCGGTGGGGCACCTTGATTATTGGACGTGCCACGTTAACCACACACTCAGGGTACTGACAAAGGAAAAATGCCTTAAGATGCAGCCAGCTTACATGCAGTGCTAAATGTAACGTAATATAATTCTTGGGAGTTTTACGTGCCAAAACCACCACGGTCGATAAGTTACACATGGGACCAGCAATCATTAAGACACGTCTCCACCGCACAAAAGGTAAAGGCGTTGCAAGTGCATGTGTGCATACATACTTTATGTGTAAGTGCACACAGAGGCAATAGTTAATTTTGAGACCACTGAAGTCGCATGCAACTGGCGTGCTTCCCAAACAATTTTGCCCACGAAGTTTCTGTAGTGACGTAGGAATCACTCATGACCATGTAATCATATATAACACACACAATGAGAAAGATGCAACTTTCATCGTTTTTTTGGCGAGACTGGCTGGCCTAATGCATTGAACAAACCTAGCATTATAGCTTCGGCAGACAGAGCGATTTCACGACTAAAGAGAAATTATAGGCCCCCTTCAAAGATTATTTCCCTTCCTGGTACACCAAACCAAGACTCCGTGCAATTCTTAAATAAACGTGCCTGTGCCGTCGATACCCGTTACATCTTGGGAGGCGCCCGCGGTAAGTTTAACTGCGCCCCTTAAGAACTACCCCGCGACAGACTACCGAGCAATTGCACAAGAAACTTTAGTCACTTAGCTGTTCCAATATTCCTCCAGCTCAAAAGCACACTTGTCCTCAAACATCGATGGTCGGGCTCCGCAGTCAACAACACACGACTTGCAGCTGAATAGAAACTGTTTGCTTCAATTCACACACAGCTGGCGATTTTGCACTACCATCTCATCTTAACATCGTATCAACGCCCCCACGTGTTTCGTTTTTATCAGTAGAAAATGAATCAGTGCAGGGGAGAGAAGCCCTCACGCATAGTGACATCTTATCTACAGTGCACTTGTACGACGCATAGCAAAGACGAAAGCGAATTTGCACAGTGACCTACGAAAAGGATCATTTCCTTTTTTCTCTTTCTCCCTACCCTGTTAATCTCAAGAACGGAAGGTGGAGTCTGCAACAGCATAGGCGGAAGCGAAGCTTTATGACGTTCGGCACCACGGACGCGAGCGTGAGACGCTTGGGTACGCGTAAAAAACGCCGGCGTTTGAAAAAAAGCTAGACATAAGAGAAAATGGGCGAGTCCCCGCCGAACCAAACACGAGCATGAAATCAGAGGCTCCTCTGAGGTCGTTGCCTCTAAAATAAGCACTCGACGATTCAGCGCCGCCCGACGTTTCCACTAAGCGCGCACGCATGCACAAACGCGCGCACGAGCAAATAAAGAGCGGCAGCAAGCACAAGCCTGACCATTTCGCGCAAGCAGCAACAGCAACAACACGCGCAGTCTCGCTCGTATTTTCGCCACCGCTAACGTCTGTCGCGGCTGAAGTTAGCTCGCATTTTCCCAGAACTTTTCACTAAGCCTAACAGCAAGGTAACCATGTGAGCGGCAAGACTGCGTTGCCCGGGCGAAAGCAGCTGCCGACAGCCGCGCCGATAATACGCCCCAACGGTCACGTTGCCTTACGGGCCTGGCGCACAATGAACGCAAGTGTCCCGGCGCGCTAGAGCATGAATACGCGGCGACACGCTACCTTCAAGCCACGCCGGCCGGAGAATTTAGATTAGGCGCCATTTTGAGGCCGAGTGTCCATGCACCCTGCGTCTCCCCTCGGCCCTCCCAAGTGAAAACGTACCGTAGCGGAAAACGTCAACTGTGGCAGCGCGAAGCACCCACGGCACGCGCTTTTCGAAGCCACACTACTGTCAAAAGAAAAAGCGTGCGCAACGTCTCACCGTTCAGGGCTTCGATGGCCTTGCTAATCACCAAGTCGTCTGAGCACTCGACGAAAGCATAACCCCCCTTCTTCAGGAGCACGGATTTAGGAACAACGCCGGTCTGCTGGTGAAACAGTTCTCGGATAGATCCTTCGTTCACGTCTGCCGGTAGGTTGCCGATGTAGAGCTTGTTCATGTTGAGGGACACCGATCTATGGATACAGTTTTAAGACAGTTTTGGGGGGTTGGGAAATGAGAAGGAAAAGGATAATAAAATAAAAAAAAAACTAACACGCCGACGGTGCACGGAAAAATGCTTGTGTGACTGCCGCCTCACGTTGTCGATTGCCTCCCTCTCGGAGAAGTCTAAAGCCTGGCACGCAACAAACCACGTGACCAAAAATCTTTTTACTTTCATGTTTCAAAAAACATCATGTAAGTTGCCAAGTTAAGCCTAAACATTTTTCACTGTAGTTAATTAAAACATCTCGAAATAGTTCAAGGTTACATGTACCTACAGAAAATGCACGGAGGAAAGCACGGCTGCCGCAAATTAACGAAATGAAACCGAAACTGATTGTTCTGTCTGCTACAGGCACAAGTCGCTGCGAATTCACGTCGATTAAAGAGCCTGAAGCATCTAACGTCGATGCCATCGCTTTAACACGAGTGCTGTGGGTGTTCGATGTGAAAATGCATTGTCGAAGCTGGCGTTTGTTAAACAATCAATAGGTGCGCGACTTACAAATATGCGCTTTATGCAACCGCGTACTCCTACAGCCGAAAACCAGTCGAGAATATGTCCTCTAAATGTGTGTTGCACACAGCGTATTTTCAGGAGCTAACGAAACGTTTGCGTTTCTATAAAAGAAATAGAAGATGCACGTTCTGCATATTTACAAAGTAGCCTCTATTTACCTCAAACTATGCGAATTGTTCGAATTATCCGAAAGTTCGAGTCGGCAGTCCAGGAGACCTGCCTACGGGCGGAGAGCCATGGTCTTCAGTCCCTGCGTGGACGCCGCCAGCAACTGCGGCGGACACCTCTTAGGGGGGTGTCTGACCAGTTTTCCAGGACCAAATAAAGTTCACTTCACTTCGAGTTAACAGACGTAGACGAAACCGCCGGTAAACTCTAACCATGCTTTTATTCCTTTAAGTAGTGTAGATGACTTTCTCCTACAGTTCAACGATGTCGTAGGCAACAGCATGAGACCCAAAACTGCTGCACCAATTCGTGCTTTGTCAGCGCTGTGTGCAAAAACGAAACGGTGACATTAAACAAAAAAAAAAAAACGTTTTGCCATTCAAACTAAGCTAAAAACCGAATTAACATTATTGTTTCTCATCAGGAGACCAAGAGCATTCGAATTAAGTGAAAAGTCGCATTAACCGAGTGCGAAGTTGACTCTCGCGACAATAATTGTCGATGATGATATGTTCGCTAGCTGTGCCTCAGGCTTCGATCACACACATATTTTCGTGTCATATTAGCAAGCCCTCAAAAAAGTTTATGAGTGGCTGCACTCAGCGTCTTCGCACTGCTGATAATTCAAGGTACTATTTTGAGTGGCTTTTCAGTTTTATGTCTCTGCTCATTCTTCAATTGGGCTGTAAGGTATGTGGAATAATGTTTTGGGGCAGGCGTCTGTGTAAATCTTCTTGAAAATGCTGACTCGGGTGAAAACGTGTAAGTGGGACTCTGACAGGCTTCAAGTAAATTTTAACTGAGATCAACTGGCTCCAGCTAGAAACCAACAGGAACCATGACCAGTTGTACTGGACCCACTTCATTTATATTGTCACAATGCGGAAACAGCAGCAGTTAAATACAGAAAACTCACTTTAATTGTACCAGAACACTGGCAAACTGATTGGAAGAGAACCTCTTCTTCTTTCTCCCGCTGCGCGTGTACTTCGTTGTTTCCTTGGTGCTGCATGTTCAATGCGGCATTTGCCCCCCTCCAGAGAGCAGCATCCCGATGCTCTTCTACAAAAGACGGTGTAGTAGATGTATGATGTAAATCAGTCCGAAAAATAGGGCTTCATTCGCACAACGTGCACGATTTCTGTTTTTTGCTGGCGAGTTGTCGAGGGGCTGTCAGGAACGACCACGTAATTAACGTCGCTCAGGCGTTATAAAACTGTGTAGGGGCCAAAATACTTCTTTAGCAATTTTTCAGACAGTCCCCGGCGGCGGATAGGTCTCCATACCCAGTCTTTGTCGCCGGGCCGGTAGACGACATGTCGGTGTCGCAGATTATAACGTTGGGCGTCGTAATTTTTGCTGCTGGGTGATTCGGACGCGTGCAAGCTGCCTCGCTTCTTCTGCTCGTTGGGTAAAAGATGCAGCGTTCAAATCGATGTCATTGCAGTCGTGCAGTAACATGGCGTCAAGCATCGTCGTCACTTCACAGCCATGAAGGAGACTGAACGGCGTTCTTCGTGTAGTTTCTTGCTGCGCTGTATTATAGGCGAACGTGATGTACGGTAGAATGTCGTCCCAGTTCTTGTGATCCACGTCAACGTACATACTCAACATGTCGGCAATAGTCTTGTTGAGACGTTCGTGTTAGCCGTTGGTTTGTGGATGATAGGAAGTGGTTTTCCGATGGGCTGTTCCACTGAGCTCAAGCACCGTCTTAAGGAGCGCGGCCGTGAAAGCAGCACCTCGGTCCGTTATTATGATTGTCGGAGCACCGTGCCTCAGGACGATATTTTCTACGAAGAATCGTGCGGTTTCAACTGCGGTGCCACTTGACAAATCCTTTGTTTCCGCGTAGCGCGTAAGATAATCAGTGGCGACTATTACCCACTTGTTGCCAGCATGGGAAGTTTGATATGGTTCGAGGAGGTCCATTCCAATTTGGGCAAAAGGTACCGTGGGCACTGGAATTGGTTGTAATAGTCCAGCTGGTTTTAACGGTGGCGATTTTCTTCGTTGGCAATCGAGGCACGTGCGCACGTAATGCTTCACAATAGCTGGAAGTCTTGGCCAGTAGTATCTCTGTTGGATTCTGGCCAATGTGCGTGTGTATCCGAGATGACCAGACGTTGGCTCATCGTGGCAAGCACAGAGGATCTCCTCACGGAGTGACGTTGGAACGACAAGTAGGTGGGTGCTTCCTCTGGGAGAAAAGTTCTTCTTATAGAGAACACCACTACGTAAGCAGAATGACGGCAGGCTCCTTGCAAATCATCTAGGGGCGGTTGTTGTCCGGCCATTAAAAAATTCAATAAGGGGAAGCAACTCACTGTCTTCCTTCTGCTTGCACGAAATCGTAGTAGTGTCGACGACTCCTACAAACGCCATGCTGTCATCTTCTGTGTCATCGTCACGCTTTATCAGTGACCTTAATAAGCAATCGGCGTCAGCGTGCTGCCGCCCGGACTTATACACGACCGTCATATCAAACTCTTGAAGGCGTAAGCTCCACCGTGCGAGCCGACCAGACGGGTCTTTCAAGTTGGTCAGCCAGCAGAGGGAATGATGGTCGCTTACTACGTGGAAGGAACGACCGTATAGGTATGGACGAAACTTCATAACCACCCATACGGCAGCAAGACACTCTTTTTCCGTTGTGGAGTAGTTGGACTCGGCGCGGGAAAGCGTCCTACTAGCATATGCGATCACCCGCTCGGCTGAGTCTTGCCACTGGACGAGTACAGCGCCTAAACCCACGTTGCTGGCATCTGTGTGGACCATGGTAGGAGCACCCTCATCAAAGTGAGCAAGCACAGGCGGAGTCTGCAGGCGTTGTCGGAGATCGTCAAATGCCACCTGTTGATCGTCGCCCCATGAGAACGAAACGTCTTCTCTTGTGAGTCGTGTTAACCGCGAGGCTATGGGGGAGAAATTGGCAATAAACCTTCGGTAGTATGCGCATAGGCCAAGGAAACGCCTGACTGCTTTCTTGTCTTTTGGCACCGGAAATTTTCTGACGGCCGCAATTTTATCGGGATCAGGTCGAACACCTTCATGGCTCACCACATGGCCTAAAAATTGGAGCTCCTTGAAACCGAAATGACACTTCTCGGGTTTCAGTGTCAGGCCGGCAGACCTTATTGCCCTGAATACCGATAGCAGCCTGCTCAGGTGTTCCTCAAATGTTTTTGAAAAAACAATGACGTCGTCCAGATAGACCAGACATGTCTGCACCTTAAGGCCTGACAGAACGGTATCCATCAGTCTCTGAAATGTTGCGGGGGCTGAGCACAATCCGAATGGCAAGACTTTAAATTCATAAAGCCCATCAGGCATTACAAAAGCCGTTTTTTCTCTATCTCGCTCGTCGACCTCAATTTGCCAATACCCACTTTTGAGGTCCATTGACGAAAAGTAGCGTGCATACCTCAGCCTGTCGAGTGAATCATCGATGCGCGGTAATGGGTATACGTCTTTCTTTGTCACACGGTTCAGCTTGCGGTAGTCGACACAAAATCGCAAGCTTCCGTCTTTCTTTTTAACCAGCACTACCGGCGACGCCCAAGGACTTCTTGACGGCTGGATGACGTCATCATCGAGCATTTTCTTCACTTGTTCCTGGATCGCTTCACGCTCTTTTGGTGCTACGCGGTATGGGTTCTGTCGTATTGGCCTTGCCGTCTCCTCCGTTATTATCCGGTGCTTTGTCAGTGGCGTTTGACTGACCCTCAAGGTCGATGAAAAACAGTCTTTGAACTGATGAAGATCTACTAGACGCTGTCGCTGCGCTGGTGACAAATGCGTGCTTACGTCAATAGGTGGTGGGACTGACGTGGCTTGCGGCTCGTCCTGTTGTATTACACAGCACTCGCGGATTTCGATGATCTCGTAGAAGTAGGCAACTGTAGTGCCTTCTGTAATGTGTCGTCGCTCGTTGGTAAAATTCGTCAACAAAACCTCCGCTTCGCCACACACAACATTGACGATACTTCTGGCAATTGCAACACCGCGCGGGAGAGTAGAAGCGTCAATACTTGCTCAGCGATTCCTTCTCCAGTATTCTGCTTGCTGCACGTGACTGAAACAAGGCGGCACGGTAACGGAGGTACGGTCACATCGTCAATGACTCGCAGGAATTTTCGGTGTAGCGCTGCGCTTTGGTCCGCTGAAAAGGTCAGTACACCGTCCGGTATATTGATGATGGCACCATATTCACGCAAGAAATCCATCCCCAAGATTGCCTGTTTGCAACACTCAAAAAGAATAACGAAAGTTGCGACGAACGATGCATCCCCTATCTTCATTTTTGCGGTGCACTTTCCGGTAGGTGTGAGTAGCTGCCCTCCAGCTCCTCTAACCTGCGGTCCTGTCCATTCCATTCTAACCTTCCTGAGCGTGTATGCCAGACTCTCACTCAATATTG